GTGGTTTTTTAGAATAATTAGAAAAACCAAAAAAGACGAAAAATACGATTTTTTTTCAAATTACGGCGCAACGATTTTATTATTTAAAATGTTTAAGATTATATTTTTCTACCAGAAATCTTTGTTCAAATTCCAAGAGTGGTATATTTTCTGAAATAAAATGTTGTCTAGTTTGTGAGTAAAATAGTCTTTCCGCATATTTTTCCTAATAATTACGAAAAACAAGTCTCCTGTATATTTTTTTAGAAATTATCTACAACTCTCCCTCCACCTTTGATAATTTCTGAAAACGTCACTAATGTTTAGACAAACGTGGTTCCGTTTCCTAAACAATAATACTGTTATAGATCCGAAATTCTACAAAAAGCTCTCGTCGTTTTTTGATTGGAATACGATTTCTAGTAGAAAAATTGTTACAGACACACAAAAAATAAAATAAAAACACAGGCCATCATAATTCATAGTAGTATCAATACAATATACTTCGCTGCGTTCAGAATCTAATAAAATCAACTCGAGTTACGGAGCTACCTGCTATAATCTAAAAATTAAATTGTGGTTTTTTCTATTTTCAGTTACATACATTTATAATTAAGATTAGTTTTGAATTATTGTACACCTTCCTGTTTTTATTTATATATATATATAAAAAAACAACATATTTATTTATAGCGGTTGATTATAATAATACTATCAGCGTGTGTGTTAATTACACTTTCTAACTTTTCGCAGGTTTCGCACTTTTCGGGTCAAATCGTCATAAACGCATTATAAATCACTGTCGGACCTGGCGGCAGTAAGGTAACTGACCATTTCATTATACCACGTATACATACATATATCACCTTTTTTTTTACGTGGTGGTTGACTGACACTCGCGAAAATCGCGTTCAACACGATTTTCAGTAATAGCATTGCAGGAGGGAATGCAATACAACAAAAACCGCGCTTAATAAAATAATATTATACTGAGTACACAAGAAAAATATGAACTCGAAACGGGAAATATTATTAACGGGTAAACTCATTACTTTTCGGCGAGTTGGCGCGACCGCTATGGTTTTATTGAAGAAACGCGCGTATATTTTTTATCGTGTAAACATCGTTTATAATATGAATAATATTATTATGCGTATGTAAATCGCGAAAAAACGACGAAATTATCAAAAATATCCCTCTGTATACACCGCTGCGCGGGTATAAACCTCACGGTTGTGAATAAAGTGGCGCGGGGTCGCGGGTATACGAAAGGGCTAACGACCGGTAGTCACGTGAAAAAAGAGTTTTTTTTTTTTTTTTATATATAGTTTCAGTTTTTATTCGGTTTATATAATATTGTGTAGTACTGTATATCGTATGAATGGACACGGGTCAAAGGCTTCGGCCGTTTCGTGACCTCGTTTACCGCCCCTGTCCTTATAATAATATTATACTGTCACATTTACATTTATCGAACCGAAAGCGTTTTAAAACACACACACACGCATGTAGACACCAACACACCCACGCTCATTAAGAAATCTCTGGTTAATATAGACGACCTACAAAAAAAAAAAAATAATAATAATAAAATAGTTTAAATAATAACTGCACAATAATCGTGGTTTGACCAGCCTATAATAATAATAATAATAATATTGTACTTATATACTGCTATAGACCGCGTACAATATTATACATGACTTATGAGTGCCGACTAATCTGTGGGCGCGTCAACATGAGTAAATAAAATGAAATATATGAACGGACGTACCGCGAGTAATTTGCTAAAATTGTATAGTTTTCGTACTTGTATATTTTAAATATTATAATACAGAGTTGTCTGTATACAGAGTGATCCAGCGTATCGAAAACTGGTGATTTTTATCGTAGAGTCGAGAAGTAAATTTGATTTTTTTTTTCAATCATAATGGAAGCTTTATTTGAACGCTATTTAATTTTATGTGCAAAATCAACATTTTTTGAAAAATATTCTCTACAGAAATTTTGTGTTTAAAAGAAGGAGGGGGGGGTGTTATATTTTAAAATTAAAAGTGTATACTCATTTAAGGTACAATGAGTAGGGGTAAAAAATCCGAAAACCGTGTTAAAATAACGCTTAAATTTAAACGAAATAAAATCGCTAGTTCACGATAGATGGATACGCTCTGTATTATAATATAATGTACCAATTCATTCTATAATACTGGCATGAATTATTATTATTATTATACATTATAGCGTTATTCAGTCGTAAATTATAGCCCAAGTACAGCGCAAATAAATTGATTCCGTTGTTATAAAAAAAAATTTATAGAATCACCTGTATAATCACTGGGAATTATAATTTTATATTAGTTTTTCCGAGAGTTTGCATTAAGCGAACGCGTCTACAAATCAGATCGATTCATTGATTTATGTATAGCATTATTCGTTTCCTTCACGAACAAATAACTAAAATTGATTACTCTACTATATTATAATAGACTTGAAATACAAAAAATACAGGTTTGATTTTATTTAATTTCAAATTTTTTCTAAAAATTCAGTGACTATTTTAGTATTGCAGTGTGTTGTGCAGTTTGATGTATACGTAGACATTATTATTACGGGCTAACGAGGGGTAGCCACTGTTACTTTTACCATTTTTATTAAAGTTGCAAATTAATAGCTACACTACCCTATGAATAATTATGAAAACAAACATCATTTTCTTGTTTTTTTTTTTTCAAAATTTGATCACACTAATATTGAAATATAGAATTTGAATGTATTAAGATCATTCAATTTAATACTTATATTTCTATACTTATATCTACTTCATCCTGATGAATAATTGACTAGGATTCATCAATCCACTAACTACTATATACTACTATAGCAACGATAAACCATTGTTTGACAAAAGACGATTCTGAGTGCAGTTCGGTAATACATAATTTTTGCAATTTTCGTTTAAATTTGATTTAAAAACGTTCATTAAAAAAAAAAATTTTCCGATGATTTTAACAATTTGACCACGTCTAGGTAAGTCCAATATAAGTATTATTACCTAGTTTCAAGTCTCTACGTGTATTTATAACCGAATTACAGCAAAAAAACCTTCCAAAAATAAAAATTCCTTATAAGCTCAAAAGTGGATCAAAATTTTTGACGATAATACCGTTAGAAAGTAAATCAAAAAAAAAAAAAAAACCAAAAAGATGTCGTAATTTTTCGATTAAATTATTTTCCTGGTAGAAAACGTTGTCCGTGTTTATAAAAAAAAATGAAATCGTGAAATTGTACGTTTTCCTACGTTTTTTCCAGCTTAAGTGTTTTATTTTTTAAAAATAACCTCTCTGTAGTACCATCTCGCTGTGCTCGGAATCTAAAAAATATTTGAATAGAAAGTTATATAACAAATAATTCATCCAATATTTTTAAATTTTTGTCATCCAAAATTATAAAAAAAATCGTGAAAATTGTGTTATTCACTGGGTATACGGCTTCCGTGTATATAAAATACGTATTTAAATACAGTGGCGCACATCCAAAATTAAATCTGTGTAGAGTAAACCAATTTAATGTTGAATGACCAGTAAACCACACGCTTCACCTCTAAATCGCTTCAAACCACACCAAAACCAAATTAGTATATTGGCTTATGGTAAACTGGAGTAGCATTCTTTAATTATTAACTTTTTAGCAATTTATTTCTTTACAGTTTTTAACATATATGTAGGTTATTTTAGGCCACCACAACCGTCCAGCTAAAATAATCCTGGGATAGTAGCTGTGGGTGAATATAAACTGCTATAGAATAATAAATTATACAAACCGATAAGGAGCATAATACTAACTGCGGCAATTAATTATAAAATAAGAATATATTTATAATTTATTATAATTTATAAAAATAATATTTTACAGCGATAAGGCACGTGTAGTATATGTAGTATAATATATACGATGAGTTAAAAATTATCATTAAAATATGAAATTATAAAATACATTATTCATCATTCAGTAATCGTGTCTTACGCACGGGCGTTATTTTGTAAATAAAAATTATAAATTAAAAGTTAACTATAAAATCAGAATTATCAAAGCCGTTACTTTGAACGTATCACCTCAATTCGTCTATACCTCACCAAAATCGTTTAGAATCGGTGACAGTTAAAAATGTACGACTGTTGATTGATTTTCATATCCGATAGTAGTAAAAAAAATATACAAAGCGTATAATCTATACAGCCTATTAATGGAATTTCAGATTGCGCTATTCAGTGGCGTACCCGGGATTTTTTAATGGGATGTGCTAATCATATTAAATTCAATTTATATATTAGGTACAATAAAAATCCAAGTAAACTATATCTACATGTATAGTGAAAAAAGCCTTTATTTTTATTTTTTCCGAGGTTATTATGCAAAATACACAATCGTATACACGTTGCAATCGGTTTGCAATCGGTTAAACGCATAATGCAATGTTTATTATTTTATGAAAAACGAGTTTTCACTGATGGTAGTTTATGTTCTTATTCTGTGCTTAAACATGGACAACGGGAGGGGTTGACTGAAATTCGCTCAGCTCGCTCTCTGGGAACGCCACCGGCGTTATCACTGTTCGATAATCTACGCGATACGTTATAATGCGGCATCCATCGAAAATTACCGCAGTTAGCATAACGCGTAGTGTGTAAATTTTCTTCTCGCCCTCTGGTGCGCGCCGCGCGCGCGTACTGTCAAAAACGTATTTTCGATTTTCACTGTAATTTATACATGTGCATATTACGAACACAATATCACGGTGATTATGACGCGACAGCACGTAGGTAGACAATGATCGTAATACATATGATTACGTTATAGTTTAACACAAACGCGTGTGTATGCCTACCATGTAATTACGTAGTCGTAACGATTTATTTGCCGTACGGCGTATTTTATCGTTTTGTAACGAGCTGACGATACGATTGCGGTTGTGCATACAGGTGCGATTATGAGGCATGGCGAGTCGGCCGTAGCTGCAGCAGATGAGTGTCCGGACGGCCACCGCCGCCGCCGCCGCCGCGTCGCTGGCGATCGCCGCCGTCGCGGTCGTCACGGTCGCAGGCAACTATCCGACGTTCGAGGGCGCCGCCGAGTTTAGAGACTTGATGGTGCCGGCCGGCGCGCCCCTCGGCTCGCTCATCTACCGTCTGAGGGCTTCCGACCACGACAAGGACTATCCGCTGTATTTCCAGGCCACCGGTACGCCGTCGCCGTCGCTGTGTTAATATTAGGAACTGGCCGATATAAGAACAACACAATAAACACGACCGCCGCCGCACTTTGCCGACACTGTGTTCAGTTCGTACGCAGGTCGTAGACTCCCGGGAACCAAAAGTCTCCTTGTACTCGGTCCGGCCTCCTTTGTCCTGACCGTTCTCGGGGTATCTTACGTAGCATCAGTCCTGCTGGTCTCTACACGTGTCCAACCCAACTTATTCCACTACGCTTCGTTTAGGTTCCAAGTTTACTATAGCCTCGCCAGCTATCTGGGCTATTTGTCTGCTATCCGGTTTAAGCCGCGCGCGGTTTACCGACGTGCCCGACGAATCCGATAAACACAAATCGAACAGCTGAAAAAACTCGCCGCAAATATACCGTTTGGCGATGATACAGTGCTATTTTTTTTAATTTTCCGGTACCGGTTTTATAAGAAAACGTAAATGAATATCGTTTATTGGAATTGAACTAGTCCAAAATATAATAATGGGTACTAAATATATATATTGTATTTTATATACAAAGTGTTTCTGAATGTTTTTATTCGTACGTACATCACGGACGGTGTCGTATTCACCGTATACATCCACTCGGTTTTTAATCTATCCCGAAACTCACGGTTCCGATGAACCTCAGGATCCCTAAAAACTTCCATTTACGTATTACAACACTATCCGTACGTATGGCAAAACGTTTTTTTTTCAGATCCCGACGCGTGCAGGCAGGTTCTCCAAAACGCCAAATACAATAGATTTATTCCTTTTGCACAAACACCGTTCATACGCATAGCTATTCGATTTACCGTACTTGGAATTTCGGAACAATATAATATACGAGATCAATTATCGATTATTAAAAAATTTAATTATTCTCGACGCATTCACAGATTTCGGTAGCTACGTGATAAGAATCGAGAATCTACCATGCCCGGCAAACACGACGGCCGGTTGCCAGGCGGACGTGTACCTGGACCGAGTGCTGATACCGGGTCAGACGTTCCAGTTCCGGATAACGGTGCGGGACACCAGGGGTGACACCACCACGGTGCCGGTAAGGCTGGTGGCCACCGAAGCCCGGAGCGACGTCGAAAACATATTCCCGCATATACCCGCCATCGTTATCGTGCCCGAGGTACTTACCTTTAATATATTCTATAATAGCATACGGCATTTTGGACAAGCATGACATATTTTTATAACGCGCACTGCAGGACGTCAAGGTCAGCTCTGAACTGGAATACGTGATTGTCAAGAAAAATCCGGAATCCCGGAAGTCGGCCAGTATCGAACTTAGGGTGAGTCATCAGTTCACTGGCGATTCGTTTATCGTAATATTATTATTTATGGTTCGGAACGTATAGAACTTGAAACTGACGAAACTGACACTTAAAAATTCCAATTCCAAAAAGGCTAATCTAAAATAACACAATATTCTTGTAGTTTTCTTAATAAATAAGAAAAACTGGCTATTTTGTGTTTAATTATTGTTGATTTTTGGATTACCTTGGCAATAACGGGAAAAATCGGAACAATAATACTATGCTTAGAATCGTTTTCCGTTAGAAATACCTCGTCATTGCGTACAGATATGAATTCAATTATTCTATGGACTATTCTTCAGTTCAACTTCCCTTCTAAAACAGTGGAACATCCACCAGCAGTCTCTTTAGTGTTGTCAATAATTATCATCTATAGACACTCTATACTAGTATAGGTATTTTATTTGAATCCGGGTCGATTGGTACGAATTTTTTTGGTCGACAAATTGGGTCGATTGGTAAATATTTTCATATGTGCAAAAAATCCTTATCAAATAAGTATCCAAGCAAATAAAAATATGCGTTTTAATCTAACTTGAAGCAACTTTAAAGTTATTTTATTTTACACTTTAAGCATTTTGATTATTGCGAAAACTTCATTTGAATAACTCATATTTAATGTTAATCAAATTTGAATTTGTAAGTAGGTAACCTAAGTAGTAACTACACAAGAGCGTTTAAAACTGTTTGGATCCAGATGATTCAATTATTGCTAATAACAGACTGATAGGAAAAAGCACTAATCGCGCGTACGGATTGTATACTTGTACCCAAAATTATTGTTATAGTGACTGTACCTATTGTAGTCCTATAGATAAGTAATGTAAGCTGCACGTTGTACCATTTGTACCTATATAATTAAATAATTTCTAGATAACACACTCTGTGCAAATGAATTTGCCATCACGTTGCATATGGATTTATGATAAATGCGTGTAGGTATACAGGTACTTCCGTAACGTGTGCTAATAATGTTTCGTTATGGAGACGATCGCACGATAGTTCATTCACTAAAATAATATATGATATTCGGCACGCGTCCGCGGAGAGAACGTAATTTTCCATATACGCGTTGAATAAGAGTCGTGTTATGATAATCATGTACCTATGCTCCCATCACGAAAGTCATTATTCTGCACGAGACAGTCGATAGTAATGATAATAATAATATGAGCGATTTCTCGCCACCCGTTCCAAACATTATTTTTCCCACTATCACTTTTTTCGATAATATTATCCGTGAGTGGGTATATTATAATATGGTAGGTAAAATTTACGTAAATCGGTTTTTTTTTTTCTTTAATTAGAAATGAGTTAAACACATAAATATATAATATACAAATCAATACGATAGTGTATATCAAACGTAAATACACGCACATAGAGAAAGAACAACATGAAGTATTATTGATTTTTCTTTCAATCAAATAGATACAAATACAAATGCATAATAAACAACAAAATGTGTACTGTTTACAGATGCAGACGCGGGGGTGTATATTAAAAATAATAATTGATCACATATATTATTTATTTATTTTACGGCTTGTTTCCTTTTTATATTGTACGTTCTCGATTTAATCGAAAAGTGCTTATGATAAAATAAAAAAAAATAAAAAAGGCGTGTTTCTCACGATAGGTGGACCAATGTTGTAGGTGAGAAGTTGGGAAAGAAGATGGGAAATTTAATGTACATCTATACGCAAAGATCAATCATCGCTCACGAATAACGATTCTGAACGGAGTTCGTTTATATATGTTTTGAAAGGTAGTAATATTTTTGATTTGAAATTTCGTAAATTTTCCCGTTTCTTCTATGTTCTTTTTCTTCGGTTTTTCCCATTTATAATGAATTCTCCTGCTCAGATCAAAAAATAATCTTCTTTAAGTACCACCCTAGTCAGATATCATTTCAGAAAAAGTGCTACGCTTGAAAATCGGAGCAAAATTCTTGGTAGAAAAACAGAAAAAATGTTTTTAAAAAAAAATAAACATAATTGTAAAAGCAATACATTCCTCGCTCCACTTAAAGTCTAAAATCAATCGAAAATCGATACACAGTACCTACTTGGGAATTTAGAAAAACGTTCAATTGCACCGAGCGGAAAATCCGCAACTATCACGGCGCGAGCGTTTCGGAGCTAAACCGAAAGAGAGCGTTTTCCGTGGGAGAAAAACGTATCGAAAGAGAGTAGATTTTAAGAGAACGCTATGTCTCCGTAATACAACCGCACAACAAGCAAATTTTCGTACAGCGTGGACAACTCTGTGCTGCCGGTCTTAACATTACAATGGACGCATCTAATATCGGATTTAAAGACACGAACATTATTCGCGTCTTGTCGTAATTTTAATTTAAAAGCGAGATATCCGCAATTTTAAATCGTCATGTTGCACACAATCGCATTTCCGAGTATCTCGGAAGGGGACTACGCTGCGGGTTTCACGAGCAAAAGTTTACCATACCACACGGGATACCTGCGTGCGACCCGTCTCGTGGCCACTTTCACCGTCATATTGTTTTCCCGGTCGGGCGGGTTGTACCCGTATATACATATATTCATAATATGGGTGTACGTCATATCCGATATTATAATTTTATTGAGAATGCATAGGCGGGTACCAACTGTATGAACACATGGGCGTGCGCAGACCTTGCTGGGGGAGCGCGTAAAAACTTGGACGGTACAAATCTGGAGCATAACATTTTTAAATCCGCAAAAATCGTACGAAGGAGAAATACTTGAACATTTAACACAAGGTTCTTTATAAGTTATACGACGCGCGGGAGTTATTTTCAATATTAAATTCCAAATTTATACCGTTTAGATTTTTACCGTCCAAATGTTTACATTCCAAGTTTATACGTGAACCACTTGCTGGCAGGGGGGATCGGTATATATACTCGTATTATATGTAATATAATTAAATATTATTTTTGTAATTAATTTATTATTTAGTTCAATTGGTATATTCACGATGGAAGTATTTTAATTTTATGTATCATTAATTTGATTACAAATTTATTTTAATAATTGAAATTTCGTGGTTTTCGAATGAAATATTTATCCCCCAGGAGGGGCAGCTGCTCTCCCTGCCCTGCCCTCCCCTCATACGCGCACGACTATGTGCGTATACGATTGCGACCGCAACGCGAGATAACGATATCGTTGCGAAACCATTCGAAAATCGTTTTTCTCGTATTACTACCCGTGACGTTACCTATTATATTATATTAAATATGTACATGTGTGTGTGTGTGTAGGGATCTTCGGAGTTGACCATAGGTCGTTTGCGCATCAACAAGGACACGACCACCGGTACGATATCGGTGTCCCGGCCGCTAGACTTCGAGACCAGGAACATGTATCGGCTGCAAGTGGTCGCGTTGGACATGTACGCGGAGATCGGCAAAGATTCCAGAAACGCGGCGGCGTTCGAGGTCATCGTGGTCGTGGAAGACGTGCAAGACACGCCGCCGATATTCACCCGGCTCGAAACAATAGTGCATCTGCATAACAACATGTCCATTGTGAGTGGCCGCGTTATATTATATTATGCACGTCCGTACAATAACGATAATCGTAACGATAATGTGTATCGCGCGGTCCGAACGGCGAACGACCGGTAGAAATCGAATTCGATCGAACCGTACTTTTATACATTATCGCGCGCACGTACGCATTATTGTTATGCGCCGGAGAACGTCCGGGCGGGTCGCGGCGCGCGGGGCGAACGGACAACATCATCGAATAACGTCGTTTCGGTTCGCGCGGCGTCGGCGCGTCGCGTTTAAATTTTCATTCTCGAAACGCCCTATTTTTCCGGTCGCGTTTCGGACGCGTTTCGTTTTTCCGTCGCTACAAACGAACAGCGCCGCCGTCGCCGCTGTACTGTGCCATTTTTGCTGGCGTAGCGGCTCGAGACCGTGGACTTCACCGGTTTGTCGCTGATTGCGTTTACAAGCGACCAAAAGAGCAGCACGGCAAAACCGGCCCGACTAAATATTCGGAGGCCCCATTTTAAAACTGAAATGGCGCCCCCGGTTACGTTGGCGGTCCGACGAGAAACGCGCACGGTTTAAACCATCCTCTTATCAAAAGGACGTTATTGATTACACCATACCTGCGCAGTATTTGAGAAGCCGTGCATAGGCATTTCATATGCGCTGTTCGGGTCCACATCACGAGTATTCATCGTGTAATCGCGAAATCCGTTCGAGAACACGTACACGCAAAACAGAAAAGACGAGTGCCCTCCAAAGTGACTTTTAGAACGTTTTACTGTATTATTCGTTATTATCGAAAACAATATTATTAGGGCGCATACCGTTATATTGGTTTTCAATTTACTTGAGTGGGACGGTAAATAGATGTTCAAAATTTTTTTTAAAAAAATGGCCATTTTTTGCAATGAATAATATTCGTGATTTTTTTTTTAAAAAACTAATACTGAATTTAAGGGATAAGGTTATTGCGTTGTTTTCTTTTTTTTTTTTCACCGTAGGTTGTTTCAAGCTAAGCTAAAGTGCACTTGCTCATTTCGAGAAAAAACTATTTTTCGATAGGTACCAGATTTGTATATTACCAACGAATTGTTACACTGAACTAACCTAGTTAGAGATTAACTAATTAATTTCCCGACGAAAAGTATGTTTAATAAAATGTCTTATAGTGAATAAGATAAGGTTTTGAATGAGATACGAGAAGAAAACCGCGGCGTAAAGAAGATAGAGTTTTTGCAGATAAAGTCGGCGTGCTGCAGTACCTAATGAATAGACCGTGACTGTAGGAATCGCGTGAAAACGGCATGTAAGCGGTTCGGGTGTGTTCGAGAGGATATGGGACCGTGTAACGGATAACGTGCCAAACGCGCGTGTGTTCGAAAACTCTGCGGCGACAATCGCGGGTAGCAAACAATTCAATTTTATAATAATCGAGTTGTGAAAGTCATTTTTTTTTTTTTTTTCTGATTTTATTGTTGAACGCTGTATACGAATAACGTTGAGACAATAGACGTGTTATATTATATGTAGACTCGGTGTATATAAACTTAAAAATTACGTTTATGGAATCGTATATATATATAGCCGGTGCGGTACTCATTAACGGACTTATTTTGTGTGTTTATAGCCAACAGTACTTTGACAATAACCACACAAATTGGAATTGTCGCGTTTAAAATTTCAAATTTGTTTTCATTAATAAAAACAGAACAGTTGTTATGAGATTGTTTTTGTGTGTTGAAATAGTTTTGTCCTTAAGTTTTCGTCTGTCACGTTTGTTTCATAAGTGTTTTTTTTATTTTTATTATTACAGGGCGACGTCGTTACCAAAGTGGAAGCGATGGACGGCGACAGGGGCAAACCACGGCGGATCAAATACGGTCTGGTGTCGGAAAACAGACCGTTCACGGTACTGTTCGAAATTGGACTGTTTTCGGGTGAGCAGCAAAGGACGATAATAAAATAGACTAAATCCATCGTCCGGGCGTGCGCAAAAGGTGGGCCGTGTGTGCCGTGGGCTGAAATGAAATTTTCTCGTTATGGGCTTTATTTAGTTAAACGCAAAACCACGAGGTTTGCAAAACCGCCATTAAAGTAACCAAAAAATCAAACCAACCGACCAGTGCGACAACCGCTAGCTTATCATTTACTAATCACTGTCTTGTGTTCGAGGTTTATCGTAATAGCGATAGTTAATATTATAGAAATACATGAAACATAGGTGCCGTAGGCGTTAGGCTCCGTGCCTAGGTCCACGGTAAACAATATGGTTTTTAAGAATTGATATTTCGCATTCATTGTTTTCTTTTTTTTATGGGAGGGGGATTGAATTCCATTTAAGGAATGTCGGCTCATTTCTTTTATGGCACACACACACTGCCGAAAAATCCTGCGCGACTCTATGGGTAGCGATGACGAGATATTATATTAACCGATTTTGGTACACAGGCGAGGTAAAATTGAAAAGGTCCATGTCGGAGTTGGTCACGATAACCGGGGGCAAACAACCGGCAATGCTGACGGTGATGGCTGACGAAGAAGTGACCGGAGTCGGTGAACCTCCGGCCATGTCCACTCTGGCCGATCTGGTGCTCATTTTGGACGACGTGGTCAACAGTCCACCATACTTTCATAACGCCAAGTGCGTATACCACACGATATTGTAGAATTACCGGTTTCCAAATTTACGATTTTTAATTGTTTCTGTACTTCTGGATTCAAAAAATATAAACAGCAACAATGTACAATCAATTCTTCCTAGTAAAATAAACGAAAAATAAAACTTTTTTAGATTCTGAGTGGAGCGAAGAAGCTTATAGTTTTACAAAGATGTTTATTTTTGTTTTCTACTAGTAGTTTTACTCCAGCTTTTAATGATAGCAATTTTTCTAAAAGGAAATTCCATTGGGGAGGTACTTTAGAGAGGCCGTTTTTCGATTTTCTCCGGAGTTTTCTCAGAAAATGTGAAAAATTGGAAAAAATATGAGAAAACCAGGAAAAACTTAGGAAAACCGGGAAATCGATACAACATTAAACAAATATTATTAAAGAAAATATACAGAGCATTTTTAATTATTTTACTATAGTATGGCATATATATTGTTGACAAAGCATCACTATCAGCTGAATTCCGCTCAGAATCGTTTTTTCAATTGTTCGATTGTTTGATTTTTCGCAATGGTTTATCATTGCTTGCGGGTATACGTTAAATTACCTACAACAGTGACTGCTCTCGTCCCCGTTGTCCTAGAACGTATTTTTTTGTATAGTCTCGATAAACGAACAAAATATTTTAAATATCGTAATCACATATAAGTTCGGCAAAAATAAAAAAAACAAAAACAAAAATCTCCAATAAAACATCCACTCGGGTTCGATAGCTATCTAATTAATTAGCTCGTTGTCAATTTGACGTTTTCAATGGTTTTTTTTTCTGCGTGTATCCCCTGACTGATCAAAGTATAACACGGGAGGTTTATGTTTACGTCACCGTGAATCTCCACTTGAGAAATTAACTGTATTATTATTGTTATTTTTTTTTTTTTCCATACGTCCGCAGCTACGCTTGTCGTTTGAACGAGAACAGCGGTCAAGGGACGACGTTGGTGTTCGGTGACGGTTACGCGACGCAAGTGCACGACGACAGTACGGTATGACGAAACAATGGTGGGGGGAGGGGAAAGGAGGAGGAGGAGGGAAGCACGTTGTTATAATATTTTGTGTATCACCTAGTGCATTTTTGTGCGATTTTAAGTGTTAATCTAACACGTTACGCGTGTCGTAAACATATACGTATTATAAATATGTGTGTGTGTGTGTGTGTGTGTGTACAGGGCAAGGAATCGGTGTACGCTCTGACTTTGGAAAACAATAACGGCACGTTTGAAGTGACGCCGGCCGTGATTGACAGACGCGGCCGATTCACCATAATGGTGCGCAACAACCGTCTGTTGGACTTTGAGAGCCGCCCGTCGGTCCGTTTCGAGGTCGAGTATACAATAATATAATATTACACTAATTTTTTAGCCCGACCGTAGTCGTCGTGTACCGGCTCTTATTATAGTATTACGCTATTTTTGTTATCGAAAACAATAATTTATTATTATTATTATTATTATTATTATTATTACATTATTCGAGCGCGGGTACAGTAATACCGCGGACAGAAAACGGACCGTTTGACGCGTACTGCGGTGTTTCTTATTTCTTTCTTTCTTTTTTTTTTTTTCTTAAATCACTTCAACGGTTTCGTAACGATGGCAGTGTGCAAAGAATGTGGAAAACTCCGCTAACTATAGTCCGTAACGCCCGGGTATTTTAAATAGAAATTCGTTTGAAAAAAAACTACTTTGCAAGATTTATGAAACGATATTAATTATGTATTAGACGTGCCCCGGTGCCCTTCTACAGCCGTCAAAAACGCGAACCTAGGGAGACATGGACGGGGGGGGGAGAGCACTTGCCTCACCCCATTGACTTGGTAAGTGTGTGGACAGGTCATTTTGGTCGGTGGTCATTTTCAGACTTGACAGTAAATTGTAGTTTTGGAGGTGAAAACCGTTTGTTATATAGAGTGTATAGTATAGCGTCATAACGGCACACAAACAGTAGAACAATTAATTCGATATTATTGTAGTAGTCCTAAATTTTAGGTGAAACAGGCATAAAATATACCGCAATACCCCACACCAGTGTCGATTTCTGAATACGTATTTTTTTTTAAAATTTTTCAATAACAACACGATGCGTCGGTACGAATTTACGAGAATAAAATATACAAGATGCTTATATTGCTGGGCGGCCGGTCAGACGTAAATGCAGAACAGCGACAGGCGCGCCACCTCCCCCACTTGGTCGTATTATAGACTATTAAAAATTACTAAACACCAAAGTGCGGTACTTAAATTTGTTGTATACATTTTTAAAACAATATTATTTTGTAGTTTATACCACTATACACGTACCTATAACAACATCATATTGTGATATAAGTCGCCATCGTCGTCTTCATACATCATTCATGTAGGTATTTGTCGCTTATGATTTTCGAGGTAACCCTTAGTCTATGAATATATTAGAACGGAGTGGGCTAATTCTTTTTCCCCAAGGATGGACGGGTATTTTGGTAACTGATCTTATTTGGCAGCGGCTATACGTCATTTCGAAATGGTTTGCGCCTCTGCGTCTGCAGTGTTTAACGGTGTTCAGAGGAAGTTTATCCGCGCACTAAATGCGTCTGCTAAACTCCTTTGCGTGATTACATCGTTGTACGCCGCCACGCTCTTGCACTTGATACGCTAGCCAATCGTAGGCTCAAGTCCAACACGGTCCTTCCTCACAAACCTCCTCGATAACAATATGCCCCTATCAACTTATCCTCATTCATCCTCTTCATTCTTATTGCCAGTTTAAGTGCATGCAATAATACTTTATAATATTGTACTTAGTTAAAAAGTCTATAGAATTCCGTACCAATACAATTACAAATGCCGCGCGATTTCCAATCTGACCTTGTCCAACAGATGGTGGCCACCGAGCTGTCCGTTGCCGGCAACGCGAACAGCACTCGGTCCACGGCCAGGGCGTCCGTGGTGGTGTATTTGGACGACGTCAACGACAACTCTCCGCGGTTCACGAGCACCGTGTACACCGCCCAGCTGCCCGAGAACGCCACGGCCGGCGTCCGCGTGATAACCGTCCAGGCCGTCGACCCGGACACCGGCCCGTTCGGCAGCGTCCGGTACACGGCCGTGTTGGGCTACAGGAATTCGTCGCTAGTGCTGGACTCGCAAACCGGCCTCATAACCGTGTCCAACGACAATCACGGGTTCGACCGAGAGGAATCGGCTGGTAATCCTGCACATAGTGTAACTTATAAAAAAGTAAAAACTATTAAAAAAAAAATAAATACCCATCTAAAAATAACAACAAAAAAAAAACACGATTTTATCGCAATAATTCGAAAAAATAAAAACGGCGAAAAGCCACGTTTTTCTGGCCGTAACACGTTTAGATACACTATACACAATATACTTTATTCTCTCTCGAAAAAAAAAAAAAAAAAAAAAAACGTGAACCCATAATCTATTTGTCGGTCCAAACCTGATATTGTTTCAAGGAAGTTCTAAGTATTTTATGTAAAACTTGGTCGATAAAAAAAAAAAAACGACGACGAGTTTTAATATCTCGGGTAGGGCGGAAAACAGTCGTGTATCAAGTGTTTTATTCGTGTAAACGAACGCACGTATTATAAAGGTACGTAACGCGGGTTAAAATATCAAAATTTACCCAAACGTACCGTTTTTCTAGATCAGAATATTATTTAACGAGTATAAAACACGTTTAAAATATTCGTTCGTGATTCTAGAGTACAGATTAACCGTGGAGGCCCGCGACATGGACGGAAGCGGTTTGGCGACTACCGTACCGCTTATCATACACGTGTTGGACATAAACGACGAGACGCCCGTTTTCCAAGACATGCCGATTCAGTTCGTTTTATCGCAAGACATGCGTAACTTCACGGAACGAGCTTTCATCAAGGTTAATAAAGCGGTTTTTTAAAATGTTTAAAAAAAAAAAAAAACCAGCCGCGAGCAACAGAGCTCCGTCATTATAGAGTCAAATATTCCCACAGACGACACGTTGCCGTCACAATAATTTATTTACGTTTTATTTTTTAATCGCATACAAATGGTCTGTGAGAGGGCTGAATGTTGAAACCCCCAAAAGGAAAATCCTTGATGCCAACGCTTTGCTTATAGAAAATTGCATCCCCCTGGCTTCACGGGAGGGTCTGTACTTATGTAGAGGTATACTGCAAAGCTACAAAAATATCCTCTTCCCGTAGCAACACGGTGATATTCGTAACGAAATTCAATCAATATTTTATCGCGAGACAACTCCGATTTTCAACTCGTTCGGCCCAGAGGGAGCCGCTACAAATGTCCAAAAATGGCGGGAAAAAGCTTACATAAATAACAGAGCAATATTCTCTATTTTTGGTAAAAATTCGATAACGCCAGAAAGGTGCTGGTAGAAATAATAATTACGATGGGAAATATTCGGCGATTCGCCGGAGTTCGATACAGAATCCGAGATCTGAAATGAAAAATCGATACTAAATCCGGAGACGCCGCTTTATTTTATGGATTTTATTTTCATAACGAAATCCCCAAGTTTAGTATTGTGTAATAGACAGAACACAGGTTTCGAAATCCGAAATCCAACACTCGGTATTGATAATGGTAATGTCACATAGCGTCTCTGACTATATTATAGCGAACGAAAATTTTAAAACGCGCGCGGTCGTCGATTCGGGTTTGTTTTTTTTTCGAAACGCCTTAAAACCGCGGCATGTTTTCAAAATAACAAAACCCGAATAACATTCGGATACGCTATACATTATAATGTAATAATAGGAATAATATAATATGTTATGAATATCTTTGTTCCAACACTCTAACACTTTTATTCCGTATAAATCAAACGCCATGACGCGCGTAGCCCCGTGCCGTTATACATCATTGTATTATTATTATTATTATTTTATTATTATTATATTTTTTTTCCTAGGCAATCGACAAAGACGCAGAAGCCCCGAACAACGTCGTACGGTACGAGATAATAAACGGCAACTACAACAATCGCTTCACCCTGAATCCAGAAACCGGTAAGGCTCATAGATATTCATACGGTCGCGCGTGCGCACGCGAACACGAACGCTATATATTTTTTATTTTGTTCCCCTTCACCGCCCCCCCCCCCCATCCCACAAACACCCGATGAAATATTATCGTATTACTATTCGTATATTATTATTATACGCGTGCGCTACTCACAATTTACGACTCTTTTGTGTCCCGGCGAACGTCGTATTGTTGTTATTGTTATTATAATATTGTGTCGTGCCGAGCTGTGTCGTCGTAGGTACCCGTGCGGGTATTATTTTGTACAGCCTATGGAGAAACGCTTAAAGACCGTACACAAATTCGGCGTTGGTATACGTGTATAGTAAATCGAGTTCAATCCACCCGGGAGTTTTTTTTATTTATTTGTTTGGTAAAAAATCTACATTAAAGGTTACGAACCGCGGAGTCATAATGTCATAATAATATACTCTATACGGGTTAACCCGGACACTTACCGGAAATTTATTATTAATACGAAAAAAAACCCGAGGAACTGCAGGATGGTTTGAGCCGGTTACGGGGCGGCCATACATTAAATTTTGTGGTAACTGTAGTTTTCCGACAATCGCATAAGGGAACGTAATATAATGCAGGAAATTGCCACTACATCAATAATTAATACATATTATATAGTTTGAAGCGTTTTCGAGTGAAATTACCGAATTTTCACGACTCAAGGGAAAATATTTAAGCGTATAAATATTATTATAAAATACCCCGTGTACCCAATACAATCATCTCTACACACGTGGGACTCGATCAACCGGTTTAGAAAAAAAAAAAAACGACGAATTTACGTGAGACTCGATTTGGCTCGCGAATTACGTCTATATCTCCGCTATATGATTAATCGAGTTTTTTTTTTTTTTTTTGCATGCTTCGAAACTTAGGCGAACTCTTCGTGTCCAGCGGCTTGTACGATTCGAGCAGGACCAGAAGGGACTCGACTAGTAATACGATCTCCGTGCTCACCGTCCGAGCCTACGATTTAGGTGACATTAGGTTACAGATGGACACATTGCTGCCGCCGACCTGCCCTTTCAAGCCGAAAAAAAATACTTTTTCGACGTTTTTTCTCTTTACTTAATAACTTGTTAAATTTATATAACTCGATGATTCTAAATTTTTCGTTTTTCTATAGAAGCAAATTTTCTTATGGCGGATTATGTCAATTTACGGTAAAAAAAAAAAAAAAACATATTCGTTTACCCTTTGCAAGTGTTTTCGTATCCTTAAAAATGGGCAGTGCAGATGTCGGCGGTCCGATTTTAACATTATTATAATACAATATAATGACGTGTGTGTGTGTTATTACTGTAGGAGTGCCCCATCGGTGGTCCACGACTCAGGTGAGAATTTATCCGCCGTCATCGGGGGCTAGACAAATGTCGTTTTTGTTGCCGGCCACCATGGACACGGTGGCCGTGCACAATCTGCTGGAACGTCTGACGGGCGCCAAAGTGACCATCAACTCGATAAAACCAAACTACGACCACGTCACACAATCGTTCAACACGGAAAAGTACGTAATATTAGGGCACGTTTTTAATAATGTATAATTATTTTTTTTTTTTATTTATAACGAAATGTTTGTTGATTGGAACTCTGGAGTCCGAAAACGACGTTTCCAGATCCCAGAGTTCATACGTCGTTTCCGAAACTATATATTATAATAGTCTATACTATAAACGTGTATACCGGAATTACGGTTGAAAAAAAAATAACTGAAAATTAACTCCGATTTCGATAACAAAATACAATATCCTCGTGTTGCGTCTGTACAGGAATATGGTGACCGCTACCGTGGTATACAACACCGATACCGTTATCGACGTCCAGGAGTTCCGCAAACACTTTGATCAGTGCAAAGGTGGCGCGGACGATGTTCATATGGCGCAAGTAATATGATTATAATGATTGAATTGATTTTAGATTCTGAGTGGAGCGAGGTTGGTTTTACAATGGTGTTTATTATTATTAATTTGTTTTATCAGTGAACAACTTTTCTATCAAAAATCTTGTTCCGATTTACCAGTGTAGCACTTTTTTTAAAAGGAAATCTGACTGGAAAGGCACTTTAAGGATGTCATTTTTTGATTTTTCCATAAGTTTTCTCAACAAATGTGAAAAACCGAGAAAAAATACGGGAAAATATGTACAATACTGAACAATTATTATTAAAGACAATATGCGATGCATATTATGTAATTATTTTACTATAATGTTGCATAAATATTCATATATTGTTGACAAAGCAACACTATCAACTGAACTCTGCGCAGAATCGTTTTTTCGTTAGCGATGGTTGATTTTTGCGTACAGACGGACAATAAATTACCCATAACAATGGCTACATCCGTTCTCACTATCAAAACTATTTTTCGGAAGGAATATGGAGGATTAACATTTAAATTAAACCGTACAAAATAAATAGATACGGTTAAACTCAACTTATATTATATGGAATCTAAATTCTAGACAAAATGTTGTCTAAATTAACCTCACCTCGTATACGCGATTACAGTGGCAAATATTACTATGAATAAATATTTTGTACGGCAAAGTTTCATTTCATTTTCTGTAATACGCGGTTCGTCAATGTGTACGTGACAGGGTATTTCGAATTTTCAATTTTTTTTTTTATTTTTTTATTTTTTTTTCAGCGGTTATTGATTAATTCCATTCGAGATTAATATTCACGGGGCGAAAAAAAGAACCCCGCAAAAAATAATACTAATAATTAACGCTGACAAACGTCTTAAATTATACAGCGCTTTAGTATAACTATTTTAATGCATTTAAAAACATATATTCTATACACAAATTATTTATTCATAGGTTTTTTTTTTTTTTTTCGTCGGGCGCGCTTCTGTTTCGTATTAATCGGACGAAGATGTTTTCCACTTACTTAATGATGTAGTATAACATTGACGTGCGTTGAAGTCATGTCCACATTTTGTTCTTTATTTCTATATAATTAATATTAGAGTTGATTTTACGAGTAGGCATACTATATAATTTTCGTTATAATATATTTAGGTACCTTATCGTCGGCTTTAAACAAAATAATTCCGACTGATAACCGAGAAAACCACTCTATCAGTGTTCAAGTTTTTAAACGTGTTTTTATTCGAATTATTCGTTGAACGTATTTCGATCCACATTAATGTTTGCAATGCACCTACTAAGTGCAGATGATTTTTCCGCAAGCCTATTTTTCTAAGCTCGAGATTGTAAACACAAGTTCGTAACATTGTAATGAATATTTACTTTCAGGTAAATTATCACCAAAACGATAAGAACTATTTGGTTTTCTGGTTGAATTTGTTACTGTTGCTCGCCGTATTGTTGGCTATCCTGTCGCTGTTGTGTTGCTGTTGTTATCAACAATATCTCCGGTTTATGCACGGGTAAGTACCTATGTATTATAACCTAAAGATTATCGAAAAACAAAAACAGACGACATTTTTCGCACATCGAGTATGCCTTTTTTGGTAAGAAAATGTTAGGCAGTATAATATATTCATATATAACCTATGATAACCTATATCAGCTGAAGTTATTTAAAAAGGGACTATGCAATGATATAATAATATCGATGCGAAATAGATTTTTGATGGTGTTTTAGAGTCTTAATTAGAAAACAAACGGTGGAAAAAAAAATTGATTTTCGATTAATATATCATTAAACTGAGATTTTAAAACCATATTTTATAATATATAGGTAAAAAAAATATACGGAAGGTGTTGAGCACAATTTTCGCGCAAAGATCGCTGAGAGAAAGTAACCGCGATAAGCTGTCGGCCGTATAACAGATTTTGTAGATTTTAGCTCTTCTTCGCGGGGCACGGAGTCCCAGCTGGTATTATGATAAATTGATAACTGTATAGTTAAACAGTGTTTTCTTTAATTATAAACATTGAACAATTGATCGAATCGCAATCGGTTATGTTTAACCGTTAACCGCACAGAGAAACTAATAAATGATACCTACCTATTATTATTAGTTCCATCACGATTAGAAATAATTATTAAATTTAATGTAACACGCGATTTTCGTGGATTATATTGACATTGTTATCGTTGCAGTTTTCCGGGACAATTTGGATTCATTCGGTATCCACACATAGAGTATAGATTTAAAGAGATTATATAGTAGATACATTTGCATTCAAATAGATAATCGATATAAACCGAATTAAAACCCCCAAAAAAAAAAAAAAAATACAAAAATAATACAAATTTACTGTGTTGCAGGTCGTAGCGGATAGAACAACGTCCGTTATTTCTTATTACACTACAGCCCGTTATTGAAAAATGAATTATTTTTAAAAAATTATCCTTCAAAACGCAGATTTTCTGCCGTAAACGGCTCCATAGTAATATTATGGTGACTGTAGATAAAAAAAAAAAAAAAAAAAAATCAAAAATTACTCTATCTGCACAAGCTAGCGCGTCTATGATTACGTCGTCGTCGTGTTTCCATCGGGTTCCAACATCCAAATGGATTCGGGACAAATCGATAGCGATTATCGTCGTTGAATAATGGCCGTTATAAATCATAATGCTGCGCTGTTGTTTTTAACGACTGGTGAATGACATAGGGCTAAACCTATACGCGATAGTTAAGTCATGATCATTTTTCACGTATACCTCGTAGCTCGTTTGGGACGTGACGACGACGTACATGCCGCGGCTAACGCGATGTCTGTCGAAATTTCAGATCCCGAGCCGAGCGAGGAATGTATATTGGTTTTAGAAAATCTTTGTTTTTTTTTTTCTTTTTTTTTCTTATTGTATTCTTAATGTCTTTGACCACATATCATCGATTAGTCCTCCGAAATTTTTCCGAAATCCTTTTCACGCCGCATAGCCGTATTAAAGATCCGGATTTTCTGTACCATATGGTGGCAGTAAAAGATTTTATAAAACCCGACGACAATATGTAATCGTGGACGAATTATATACACAGGAAATAAACTGCTTGGCCAAACGGGTTCCACTCTGAGTCGTTGTTTTTTTTTTTTTTTCTTGAAAACCCCAAAATCCAAAATCTCACCTAGAACACAGTGGTTTACTCGTAATGCGAAGCTTGTCCCGCGGGGTTTTTTTATACTCTGTATCATTAATATCAATATTTTTACAGTAAACGCGTCGACCACGTGCAGAAAAACAAAGGCATCCAAGCGCCTTCGCCGGGGAATTTCACCGAATCGTTCGCGGATCCCAATAAGCACAAAGTGTACATTCTGAGCGAAAAACCCGCGGCGTCTCCGACGGTGCGGTTGGCGAAAAAAACCAGGACATTGACGATGCCGAACGTCATTAAGAAAAAAACCAGCGCGGAGATGTTGCTCCTGGAAGACGTGGAGGGCAACGAGTACAGAATTTTGGACAAACCGCGACCGTCTTGGTCCGATGACACGCCGCCTGACACTAGGCAAGAGATGTTTTTCAAACAGGGCAACGCGGAAATATTGCGAATCATGTCCAACGATTCGTTGGAAGTAATGGACTCGGCGTCCAACGTGTATCAGAACGCGTTCAACGTTTTCGACGAGATGGCGGGTAAAAAAGCGATCATGGACAAGTTCTTGAACAGTCAACCGGACGGGGTCGTCGGTAAAGACTTGCAATACGACGAGGGCGTTCAAGTGAATTTAACGGAGACGGCGGCACATCAAGCCAAGGAGGAAGTGAAAAAAGAAACTGCCGCGGACATCGAGGAAGAACAAAAGAAAATGGCTGCGTTCCAAAGAGACGTGTTGTTGACCAAGTAAGAACGACTACGTATAAATTGGTTTTGTGCGCGGTTTTAAATTTGGAAGGATTTTGAATAATTTTATTAGGCTCTACCTAAATGTGTAAATATTAATTTAAAAAAATTTAAATGTTCAATACATTTGAAAACGAATAAAACATAAAGAAAATCGTTTCCCGGAACATATTTTCGGTTTGATATTGGTGTTGTTGGTTGGCTGGAACACATAGCTGGGCGTGTTTTATCGACGACCGTTTCGATTTTAAAAAACAATCATCGGGTAATATAACGACGCGTGTTGATAAACGCAATGTAATGAACTGATCATTCTAAAATAGGTACCTATACCCATTATCTGTGTGCGATTATTCTTTTAGTCAAACCGGTTTTCGACCGAAAATAAAATTAACACCACCGCTTTGAATCCAAACAGAAAAATGTCTAATTAGTAATTGCATTAAATGTGTTCTCGTCGTGCGGCACGAATGTACCCGGGGAGCCTATTCCCGAATCAAACGAAAAGGCATTTTTCCGCCGAATCGGATCTCAAACACTCGATAATCGAGAAAAATTGTAAGAAAAAAAAAAAAAAATCGTCGACTGCTCTTCTCCCCCTATACCCTTCGATTGATTTCGACCGACGGTTATTTTCAACCGAAAACGCTTTTCTAATGATTTTATACGATTGTTCCCCGCGCCCCCATACTACATAAATCAGCCTGTTCCTACAACACACGATTACATTATTGATAGTATTGGATATGTATGCGGTTATGCGCATGCAGCTCACGAAATATTCAGTTAAGTAGGCGGTGATTTCAAACGCAAAGTTCAGTTTTCTCGGGTGCTCGGTCAATTCGATTAGCGCACGCATACGTTAAACGACTGAAACTCGTTCCGTTCTTTTTAATCGTTTTCCGAGCCCTGTACTTGGGAGTATTTTGATTCCGTACAGCCGCTGAATAATGCGCATTACTGTCTACAGATTTCTGGCGGAGGAACAACAAAAATTGATGACCAGGCTGGAGACGAGAAGTTTGCCGGGTGCCAACATGGCCACGCAGACGGAAGTGCACACGAGCACGCAGACCACGAGTTCGTGTCTGCGGGCCAGGGGTCAGAGCGAGTGCGGACAGGGCGGTGCGGGCAGACGGAGCCGCGGTTACGACGACCGGGATTATTCCAGATCGGCCCACTATCCGCGCCGGTCGTCCAGCACACCGCGGAGACACATGTTCAACAGCCCGATCATGGAGGAGACGGGCAGCGGTTCGGGCGCCAGCAGTGGCCCGCGGTCGGCCAACGCGCCGATGACCGCCAGCAGTGGCCCGCGGTCGGCCAACGGGCCTGTGACCGTCAGCAAAGGCTCGCGGCCCGTTTATGGGCCGATAACCGCCGGCAATGTCGGTCTGCGAACAACGGTTGACGCGCCGCCGAGAGCGCCGTTGTCAACCGTTGACGGCGCAGGGCGGCGTCGTCAACAGTTCGCCGCCATGTCATCGACATCTTCGTCGCTGGGGGCGACCGCCACGGAAGAACGCCGTTCCCGGTCGTATTCCAGTCTACGAGAACTCGACCTGGACAGACAGTTGCAGTACATGACGCCGTCACTCAGGTCTCGAGCGCTGGCCCGGAGACGGTTGTCCACGTCACTGCCGGCACGCGGCAACCGCGACAGGCCGTCTCTGAGGGCCATGCAAATGTTGGAGAAGAAGAGCGTGTTTACGATCGCCTACGGAGACGTGGCCACCCAAAAAATCAACTGCAGCGCCGACTCGTCGTCCAACAACTGGGATTGATTTTGATAATGTCAATGTTCCGAATACGCCCGCACCGTCACCGTCGTGTACCGTTTTACACCAGTCCAATCCAGCTGAATCCCCATTGATTGGACCGCGCTTGGACTAAACCGATACCATATTATTTAGTTATGAAAATTATTATTATTTATACGAGACTTATATATATATATATATATATATTTATTATGTTATATATTTTATTATGTTATTTATTTTACAGTTATATTGTACTGTGTGTAAACTCGTACGAGATTTTAAGCTTTTTATTTTGTTTGGATAAAAAAAAAAAAAAAAAATTTTCGGACCGAAAAAAAATATAATTTTATCAAAAATGCGTTACGATCGTTGTTCACGCCGTTTTCGATACACCTGCTCTATTTTATGAAAACCGGGTGCCATCCGGACGTCGTTAAATAAGGTTAGAACCGAATGGTGTACACATAGCGATGACAATCGGAAATTCAGCGAGTTCAGTAAATTTCTATACACTGCAGTGCGTACTGCGAGCACGGTGGTGTTTTGGTGGGTGTACGGCGTTTATACCCACTTACCATTTAATGAATTAACGTTGTACCCGGTCAGTATAGCGCGAATATTGAAATACGCACGCATACTCTGGTAAACTTTGAAATTAAAACAAAAAACAAAAAATGTGCGTTTATGTGTGCACTGCATGCGGTTTACAAATAATGCAATTTGTGTTTTGCATAATTTTAGATTCTGAACGAAGCGAGGAATGTATTCATTTTACAATGACGTTTATTTTTATAATTTTTTATTAACATTTTTTTTTTTATACTGTTACAAAATTTCTACCAGAAATCTTGTTCCGATTTTCAAGTGTAGCACTGTATCGGAAAAGAAATTTAATCTACGATTTCACGATTTTACTTATGATTCGTAACTTATGTTTTACAATAGAAATCTTGCTTCAGTCAATAAATTACAAGAGACCTTTTTTGCCGTATTTCAGATCTAGTTGGAGAAATTTTTTTTTTTCATTTTCTTAGTACTTTTCATAATAATTAGAGGAAACCGGAAACAAAACGTAGTAAGATCGGGGAAATTTACGAAAACGACGTTTTTATTATTTTCAATTATAATTCAGTTTAAAATATTTGTAGAAAACTTATATTTGATATTTTTAGGTCTGGTCAAATTTTCAAAATATTTTAGCCATTTCCGAGCTATTTATAGACGTTTTAATTTTGTGAATTTTTTTTACGTTTTATTAGTTTTATTTCATTACGAATGTAATGTACGAGTATAAATATGAATCAATGCTTTTAAATCTAATTCTAATTATACAAATAATTACCGGTTTATTTAACGTAAAAAAGTCGGGTACGTGAGTAATATTGATAAAATGGCGATTACCATTTTACATGATATTACTGAGGGGGAACTCGGTTGACTGGTTAAACGATTATGTTATAGACAACGGTTTGACAGGTTAACTGTCACGTGTATTGCCAAGCAATGCACGCGATTTATTACAACTTTTGTCCATTACGTTCAACCAAAATAATCATGACCGTCGAAAAATTTGTTTCGATATTTTTACTGAAACATTACCATATCAGAGGCCACACAAACGTCTCTCATAAGAAAATCGCATTTACGTGTGCCGCGCGGTGTTAATATTGTTAATAACTCGAGTGCACCTTAAATGGCACGTGTAACACGAAAATAATGTTCAGTCGTGTACCACAAATGGTACACTTAGCAACGTTAAAAAATGCCGTGGCAGTTAACCTGTTAAACCGAATGTTAACGTAGAAGCCCTAAACATTTTTTTCGATAAGCTGTCGAGAAAAAAAAAATGTTTCAATTTTTATATTGACTTTCGGCTCGGCTCAAAATGTCAAATAGTCAATTGGACGAGCAAAATCGCATAAATCAATCGCATCCCTTCAACTAAACGAAAAAAATGTTACAAGAACGTTCTCGTTGAAATGTTTGATCGGAGCCACATAGCTGGTAGAAAATACGTTTACGGGCACAAACAATTTAAAAAAAAAAAAAAAACACGGCAAAAACCAATACACGCCCCGATTCGCTCATAACCTTAAACGCCCGCAATCACCTCCCCCGCCCTAGGCCGCGCTCTCAATGCCCGACCCCCTTGGACCGCGGGCGCCCTACAGTGTCCACGTCTTTACGTATAGGCGCACACAGAACGGGTTTGGGAGGAGTCCGTGGGGCCCGGGCCCAGAAGTCCACGCGAAACAGGTTTCACCGTTCACTACTATGCACGGTGCTCCGCGTGTTTTGAACGCCTGAAGATTCAGATCCGAACGTACGAACTTGCGCGTGTTTACCGGGATAACCCTCCCCCACCCCCGGGACCCTGAATCCGGCCCCGTTCACGCAATTGATAATGCGGGGTACGCGCCGGTGTACCGGTTTGCGTACGCGCGGCGGCACGGTTGCCGCGCCGTTTTTCGCGGCGCGACTTCGCCGGCGCGGGGCGATAAACGAGCGGACGTCCGCGAACAGAAGACTGCCGCGGCCGGTTACCGGCGCAATAATATTACGTTCGATTGAACACCGCCCGGGACCGCCGCCGCCGACGTTGTTTTCACACTCGCGCGTATATTACAACAATAATATAATGCGTAGTAATAATACGCGCGCGCGACGACGACGACAATAATAACAATACTATTATTTTATCGTACGCGTACGACCGGTTCGTGTCGTCGATGTCTACGGAGACGGGCCGCCGCCGCCGCCGCCGCCGCTTTTCGTCGCCGTCTCCGCGGTTATATTGTCGTAACCAATAATATTATCGCGCGGTCGTGCGCGCGAGGAGCTCGATTCCGGCCGACGTACAACCCGCGGCACGACAATATTATCGCGATATCCGCCGCGATCGGGTTCGGGCCCGCGACGACGACGGAGAACGGGGAGAGACGAGCATTAAGAAAAAAACAGCTACAATAATAATAATAATAATAATGATAACAACAATATAATCTGTTATGTATTATGTTGTAGGAAAAAAAATAATGTCAACGTAAAAACCTCGACGAAAACTGTTTTAATACGCGAACGTATTATAATAGTATAATTTATTTTATTATTATTATTTCTCCCCTCCTCTCCGCCCGATATATTCTCGTGGCGACGGCGGCACCGGCAGCATCGGCGGCAGCGGCAGCATCAGCGGCAGCAGCAGCAGCAGTAGTATAGTAGTAGGACGTATATAGTGGTAGTTGTAGTAGTCGTATGATATTGTTCTCGGAGAGATTTTTGCACACAATGCTATTGGTTTTTTGTGCGTTTTTTTATTTTTTCTGATGCGCCGAATACTAATCATCAAGACGCGGTGCGACGGGGCGATTTCCCCCGGCGGCGACGGCGGTCGGGAAAAGATGAAAAAAAAAACGCTCCCGCTGCGCGCGCGAAAACAAAAGACGGCGACCGCCGAAAGGAGGAAAAACCATCATGTCGAGAAGTCATTATTATAATATTGTCTTTGGCTTCGGTGTACCTACACGCGGCAGCAATACTACGTACAATAACTACGTACACGATAATATTGTATTCAATTAAAAAAAATAAAATATAAAAATCACCGACTTATTGTATTATTGTTGTTGTATAAATCGACTTTGCGCGGTAGTGTTGTGTAGCGCGGCGTTATTGTTACTACCATTGTAATAATATATGGGCCATGTGTACAAGGGCGCCCGCGGACGAAATATTAACAAAAAAAACTAGAAGACAAATCAATTTATACACGCCGATAGAGTTAGAAAAATAAAAAACAAAAACGTTTCGTAGGGATTTTTTTTTATCATAATATTGTAACTATTATAGACTGTTCTCCGAGGAGAGGAGAAAAAACCCCCTTGACCTCTTCTTCTCCTTCGCCTATCTCTCTGCGTCGGACCCTATACCTATAATACTTGTGTTCGTGTTATTCTCGCCCTCTTGCACGTCTTCTTGTATGCATAGTAACATAATCCATAGCCATTTCTTCGTTTACTCCACATCTTCCCTGTGTACAATAACATCTAACAGATTCGTAACCAGTCGGACGGCAAGAGGGCAATAGCCCCTCACGGACCGTGTTTACGTATGCATACTATTTTACGATGCCGTCCCATCCGACCCGGTCGCATTAAACGTCTACATTTCCACCTGAACTTTCTCATTTATAATCAATCTGAACAATGGTATGCATAGAACACAATGTTAGCAAAATAAATTTAAACTATACTACTTGTACTCAAAAAGATAGAAAATGAAAATGTTCAAAAATATTATCGGCATCCCGTACTCGGCTAGATCCAGAACACCGTTTAGGGCAGATTGAATAGAGCTCACTCCCAGGGTTTCGCGCTAAACATGTTTATGTAAATAAAAATGTCATGGCATTTGAATTCAATGCTGCGTTCACAATAAAATTTGAAAGGAAATTGTATGGACTTGGCAGTAGGTATACCTATGATTAGGAGATAAAAAATGTATTTGTACCTATGATTAAAGTTAAAAGAACTTTTGATTTGCCAAAACAGTTAAAAAATTGGTGACTTCTATTGAAGTACTTTATTTTAACAAAAACAAAACCAATGAAGCTTTTCCAAACTTAATCGTGGTTTTTAAAATAATGTTAACTATTCCAATACTTTCAATTATCCCAGAACTTTTTGAATTTATAACTTATACAAATTTATTTGAAAAGTACTAAGTTCCAAGAACCCTTCTGGCTTGACTTTATTAGCTATAGAAAAATAGCTGAACATTTAAATTATAAAAACAAAATCATTGATGATTTCGAGAGTAATATATCTAGAATAATTAAATTTAAGTATTTAAATATTACAGTATACATGACTATAAATAATAGGGATTTTATTTTATTTTGTTGAAGAAATGAGTAAAAGCTATGATAAACATATTTCAAACGCGTATCTACTTTTTATTAATGACTTTTAATTGTATAGGTAAGTATTTTAATACAATCAAAATATTTTTATTTTAAAAAA